TCGAAAAAAAAAAAATATATATATATATATATATATTTCTGATCAGGCAGAAGGTATAATGGTGGTACCCAACTGGGTTTCGCAACCTTGGTATTCGATTTTAAGGGCGATGTTAATAGATGAGTCGATTATTTTTTTTTTTTTTCGTTAATAGACATTTACTTTCTTTTAGCGGATCTCCCCACCCGTTAGCCAACAATCTTTCTCTGACGGGAGGTCCGGCCATCAGGCAAGCCTTGCTCTTAGGGAATGTTCCAGAAGAAGCGCTGGAAATTTGCATGTCTTCAATGACAAGTAACACCTTAAAACAGTATAACTCAGGGCTTAAATTATGGTGGGAATTTTGTAGAGTTAAGAAGTTAGATCCCTTCTTGGTGTCGGTTTCCAACGTTCTAATATTTTGACTTAACTCTTTAACGAAGGCGCATCTTTTAGCTCATTAGGTTCTTATAGAGCAGCCATAGCACAGATAGCGGGCCAGGACCTCTCACAAGATTCTCGTATGCAAAGGGTTTTTTAAGGAAATATATATGTTGAAACCTAGTAAGCCCAAGTACGAAAATACCTATGATCCTAGGGTAGTACTTAATTATTTAAAAATAAAAAATAATTATGAGTTAACCTTGGAGGGGCTTATGCATAAATTAGTGACATTACTGGCCTTAGCATCGGGTCAACGGTTACAAACACTATCGCTTATTGATATAAGAGAAAATTTTCGGAAGTTAGGGAAAATAGATATAAAAACTAGCGCAAGATTAAAAACATCCGTTAGAAATAAGCCGCAACCCTTTTTACGCTTACCTTATTTCAAGAAAGACGCTAATTTATGCGTAGCTAGCGCGTTAGTGGAGTATCTGAAACGAACAGAGAGCATTAGAGGAAGCATAACTGCTCTTTTCATAACAATCAAGAAACCGCATAAGAAAACATCCACTCAAACCTTGGGGCGCTGGATTAAAATTGTCCTAAATAAGAGTGGGATTGATACGGATCATTCTACCGTTCATAGTACACGGTATGCTGCAACTTCAGCATTTGCCAGGAAAGGATTAAAATTTTGATACATCAGACTCGCTGCTGGTTGGTCTAAAAATTCTAGAATGTTCGCTATTGTTTACAATAGACCCTTGATGAATAATGAGAATAGTTTTGCGGAGAAATTAATCTTTATATATTTTCAATATAGAAATGGGAGAAAAGATTATGTTGTTGTTATTGCTTTAAATATCTACACTGTTCTTATTTACGAAGACGAGACCGTATATAATCACAAGATTAAACGAACTTACCTGAAGTGAAGTTCAATCTTGATTATTTGAAGGTCTCGTCGAAGTAAATAAGTTCCCTCCCGCCCTCAACCTCATTTTACAACAACATAATAAGTATCTTTAAATTGACTGAGTAAGAGGTGATGCAAGAGCGTGTAATATGGTAAGGAAGCAGGAGAGCGAGGGGCATGTTGAGCGAGGGGAATTTGTTTAGGATTTAAAATGTGTGGTCGTAGCACGTAGAAAAGGGTACTACACTGTTCTTATTTACTTCGACGAGACCTTCATATAATCAAGATTGAACTTCACTTCAGGTAAGTTCGTTTAATCTTGTGATTATGGGTCATTTATTTATTGATGTACATCTTATAATGCCATAAGTGGTAATAACAAGTAAGATGGTGCTATTAATTAGCGATGGGAACTATCGAACGAATTAGACTATCGAATGGTTACCGAATGAATGATTTCAACTATCGAATGGTTTTATTCGAATAAAATCATTCATTCATTTGTATACTAAAGCATATGTGAAAACCTCGCCGTGCGACTAAATGGTTATCGTTGCGCCACGACTATCGAATGCTTTTGATAAATGAAATTTAGTATTCGTTTGATTTTTGTGTGCGTCAATGCATTATTAGTTTTTCCAAATTTTTATAACTTCGCCTTGTAAATACTTTGCTATTTTTGCGTTTATTAAAATATTTAAAATACAAAAATAGTAGTTTTTTTTTAATTGACGATTGTGTGCGAAGTGGTCAAAATTTTTCCGAAAATTTGTGTAATTTTCCGTAGCCCGATCTTTCAATTATTTAATTTTATATGGTATATCATGGTTAGGTTAGATTGCATTTTTTTAATGGGAAATTTTGAGAAGTAGCAATTTTTAAGAGAGATGAGATGAACTTACAATTAATTTTAAAAATACATATTTGTATTTTAGATGTTTTAATAATATGAATTAGTTGAACTTAATAATCATATTTAGGTAATGTGGTTAAGTAAATGGCTATCGAACTCAAATTTTGGGGTGAGAAAATTAAATTTTAAAAATTGTAAAATTAAAGTTTTACACGTGCCAATTTAAAAAAAAAGTTAACAATATTTGTATTTTGTTTATGCTAATTCTCTTACATGTAGTTTTTTGCGAAGAAATATTTCATTTATTTTTTAAAGTAAATGCCAGCAAAAGTAAATATTATTTTTAAATAGTAATATAAAGTAATAAAAAGTAATATAAATAATTTTGATTTCTGATTTTTTATTTATATTTTCCTTCCATTACACTGCATGCTTAGAAAATAATAAATGTTTATATTTCATGATTTTAAAATTTGTTGTTAATATAACAAATTAGTTCTGTAATTATTATTATTTAATAAACCAACGTTGCCATTTAGAGACTATTTTATTTTTAAATAGGATCTAATATAAATACTTTTGACTTCTATTTTTTGTTTATATTTTGCTACTACTTAAAAAAAATGTTTATATTATTAAATGATTGTAAATTTTGTTGTTAATAGGTATAACAAATTATTACTGTTATTATTATTTATTAAACCAGTCTTTGATTAAAAACATTAAAAATCATTTTCTTACATCCAAAATAAAAAGTATTATTGCAGTGTAACAACAGTTAACTAACTAACTAATGCTAAAGATTAATATTCTTTGCTAATACCAACTAATACGAATATATGGCAACAGCGCCCTTCATAATATATATTTTCTGTGTAAATACTAACACCTCAATAAAAAAAATGTGTCCTTATCTTTATTTGACTCCGCAAAAAATCAAAGATGCCCGCTTCTTTCATAGCATTGCCACCGACCGCTGTCGGATTTCTAGGAAAGAAACCTACGTCGCCGGACGACAACTAAAATCCAGTTTATATTTTATTAAAATCGATCCTGACGAAATGAATTTGACAAATGAATGAATTTTATAAATTAATGGTTTTTGCTGCCGAATTACTAGAATACAATATTTCAAGGCAGATGACGCATCTCTTCGATAATTTTTATTCGAATAGTTTTCAACGAATGTTTTCTTTTTTCTTACTAGCTATCGAATTATTCGAATGAATTGCAACTATCGAATGTTTCGATAGTATTCATTCGATAGTTCCCACTACTACTATTAATGCACAAACTAATAATCACAGAATTTATTAAAAACTAACTTTGAAAGTGGTATAATGTGCTTATCAATCAAACTTACTATTTTCACTGCAGTCAATGGTAATAAAGGACCTTTATTGTCACGTTCTCGTTAAAAATAGTTTAAAAAGGGAAGCTACAAGCTCTTTTCTTCGACTTTTTAAATGCTTCGGCATATTTTCAACATATAATTTTTTTATATTTCAAGAAATGCAATACAAAAACTCGAAAATTTTGTTCTTAAAAGGACTGTTTGTCCTTAAAAGTGCAATTTAAAAAAAATACTATGAAAATAGGCAAAAAAAACGAAAATAGCTCACAAAGATTCAACAACACGATATTATACAAAGTAACGACTGACACTAGGATAATTGTCAAATAAAAAAGGACACCACAGCTGATCGCGGCGCGTGGCGCAATGTGACCAACATAGCGATAATCTCAGTTTAAACTAATTTTTGAATGAAAATAGGCAAAAAAAACGAAAATTACTCACAACGATTCAACAACACGATATTATACAAAGTAATGACTGACACTAGGATAATTGTCAAATAAAAAAGGACACCATAGATGATCGCGGCGCGCGGCGCAATGTCTAAAAACCAAACCAAACCAACATAGCGATAATCTCAGTTTAAACTAATTTTTGCAGCTTTAATCTAAATAAAATATCTGTTACAATCATTTGCTCTATAAAGTAAAATGAAGTATATGAAAAAGAAAAAAAAAGACGAAAATTTAATTTAGTCAGGTTTATAGACTTTAATGTGAATGTCGATATGATTAATGACTTATTTGTGCATCGGAAAATATTTTGCGATAACAATAATTGCACTTTTCACTGTAACCTTATTTATACTTAAAATCAGGAAAATTGTGTGTAGCGATTTCCTCAAAACCGCGTTATTGTTTTAGATATATATGTCGGGAAGAGCTACAACTTACAAACTGATCCCAGCAATAGACTGATAGAGGAGATGGACGCGTAAGTATGACATTTTCAATGTCATCTTATATGATTAGAACAGTGTTAATAAATTTAAATTGTAAAGTTCTTATAATTTTACTTTTTCCTCGATTCGTAATCTTCCAATTGTTTTGTTGTGTCAATCACATTTTAGAATTTCCAAAGTGATAACTAATGTTTTTTTTATAATCCTATTAGAAAGAGTGACAGAAATATATGGCAGAAATTAGTGTGATGACAGTTACGTTTGGTTTTCCACTTGATCCGAAGGCTCTTTTAACTAGTGGTTGGAGTACATTGTCATTGATGAATAAATTAAAAAAACTTGGTTCCAGCGTATGTATTAAATGTATATATAATTGAAACAACTAACTAAACATGCATTTTAGATGACCGACTTTAGGAGAAAGGAACTGCAGAAGTATCCAGGTACTAACTTTATACATGTGTGTTTTATTCTCAAAAAGTGACTCACCTTTATAACTTTTTTAGTTATTTTTGGGTAAAAAGTAAGGTTTGGTATGTTGAGTATATGACATAAATCGGGATTGTTAGCGTATTCAATTGTTTTCCATCACTTCCTGTTTGTGGATATTATAAAATCTGATATTCGTGATTTAAGAGAAGGATTGGATTTATTAAAACAACAATCTCGAATATCTAACCTTATCCTAGACCTAAAAATGCAAGAATTAAAATTGGAAAATTTAATTTTACGCCAAAAAATATGGCATTTTGTAATTATTACTTTTGAGCATCTAAATGCTTATAATTTAGTATTTTTTATTTGTAGAAAAAAGAAATTGAGATGCAACAAAGGATCGAGCTTGAGGAAGAGACTTGCAGCGAACTGAAACAAGTTTTCGCTAGTTTACAGCAACAAGTTGACTTTAAGAGAGATAAGTTGAAGAGAATTAATAATAAATTGCAATCAATCAGACAGGAAATTAAAGATAATCACGAGGTGTATCTTAAGGATAGACAGGAAATTGAGAATGCCAACGACGAAGCCACAGTGTAAGTGAGAAAGGTTTACACAATTTTGTTGAATTCTCGTGATAACCCGTCGTTTTTTAGAAAATAATTCTCGTGATAACGTCCTTAGTGAGTCTGTCTACACATGTTTAGCATTAAAATGTCGCACTTATAGTAAATTTTACCCTCAAAATTTCATTCGAATCGCTAAAAGCATTTGGAAGAAAACTATAATAAATTGAAAAAAATACAAGACTTTAACCCCCTGTAGCTACACTCACTACAAAGCATAATCGGACCTATTGTAATCGCAAAACATTTTCCGATGCACGTCATCAATCATATCGACATTGACACTAAAGTCTATAAACCTGACTAAATAAAATTTTGGCAAAAATGTTTAAATTTGTTGTATAATTTGAGATACCGAGCCGCTCTTTCTTTTACTTTATAGAGCAAATGATTGTAACAGATATTTTATTTAGATTAAAGCTGCAAAAATTAGTTTAAACCCTGAAACCAAATTTTATTATCGCTATGTTGGTCACATTGCGCCGTGTTCAGCACTAAATTTTCGAGTTTTTGTATTGCATTTCTTGAAATTGTGTGTTGAAAATATGCTGAAGCATTTAAACAGTCGAAGCAAAGAGCTTGTAGCTTCCCTGTTTTTTTAAAACTATTTTAACGAGAATGTGACAATAAAGGTTCTTTATTACCCTTGACTGCAGCCAGAAAAGTAAGTTTGATTGATAAGCACATTATACCACTTTCAAAGTTAGTTTTTATTAAATCCTGTGATTTTTAGTTTGTGCATTAATAGCACCCCCATACTTGTTATTACCACTTATGGCGTTGTAAGATGAAGATCAATAAATAAATAACCCATAATAACGTTTATAATAATCTTCCTAATGGACTAGTTTTTGCCAATATGTAATATGTAAAATAAGCTATAAAACAAATAAATCAATCACTAAAATATTAGTTATTAAATTAAAAATAACTCGTAAAACTCCTCATAAATCCATCACAATCTGACAGCGCTGTCGCCATCGCTTGTCACTAAAAGTTGATGGCGTGCATCGGAAATTGTTTTGCTCTTACCATATGACCCCGCGAGAGATGAATAATAAATAACTATTATTTTTTTGTTAGAATTACATAAATCTAAGTTAAAGTTAAAACCGACAAGAACAATTAATTATTAATAGGATAATTTTGAAAATAAAAATGCTTTTAATATTTTTTTTTGCAAAAAATAATTATAGGCCTGTTATTGGGGTATAAAAAATAATTTCGTTTGTTAGAAATCTGAGACAGGCTTTTCTGATCATCGACAATTTCGTACCCTCTGAAGAAAGGAGCAGGATTATTAGTTTGGCTCAGTTTGATGAAAATTTGGACAATTGGATCATTAAGAAAGAAATCGAGAAGATATTACCTTCAGAGAGACCAAGGGCACACAATTACAGACGTCCTATATCAGACTATGCCATACAACAGGGCCAACTCAATCCAAAATATAGAGTAAGTACTAACATACGATCGGAAAAAAGAACGGCGTCGATGATAATTTTGGCGAGGTAAGTTCGATTTTTTTAAATGTTGGGTAAAAATCATTTTTAAATGGTGTAGTTTAAAATTTGAGAAAAAATTATTTTTTTGGAAATAGATTTTTGTGTCTGGAAACGACGTTCTATCATTTTTTAATCTTTCTGTTAATTAGTGTTAATGGGTCCGTTCGACTTTACGGACACAAGAATTTTAAAAAAGCAAAAATTGTCCTGAAAAGTACATGTTTTAGTAGGTAATTTAAGCCAAAAAAATTTGCGGATTATCCAGTAAATTTTAAAATATTGAAATAAAATTATGGTACTATTTGATGCTGCGGAGGAATTTTGACAGATGGCACAAACATATGATGACATTAACCTGTGCGACGTTGCCGCTATTTTACGCCAATTTTTCACGTGCCGGTCGCCGGAGGAACGGCTCCTACGGTGGCGCCATCACGGTGAAAACAAATGAATTATTTTAAAATCTGTGTTTAAAATCAAATCATTGAAAGCACTCAGATTCGTATTAATTATTAAAATTTAAAAACCACAACTTAACACCCTCCGCAAAGAAAAGCTAACCAAAGCAACCCAAATGCTAACCAATCTACTAATATTTTTGCAAAATCACAGTTAATTATTAAAATGTAAAAACCACAGCTTAACACCCTCCGCAAAGAAAAGCTAACCAAAGAAACCCAAATGCTAATCAATCTAATAATATTTTTGCAAAATCACAGTTAATTATTAAAATATAAAAACCACAGCTTAACACCCTCCACAAAGAAAAGTTAACCAACAATTCAAAACCACAGAACCCCTAAAAGAATATCTAACATAACCTCACTTCAGTAGAAAATTATATAAAATAATTATATTGACAACGTCGCAAATAGCATGCAAAGGCCGTCGATCAAGTGTCAATCAAAAAGTCAATGGTTGCTAGCTCGGAATATTGTAAATACGTATATTTTCTTAATTTTTACGCTTACAAAGAGGTTTTCTTGATTTTTTGTGCTTAAACTAGGTCAATCCACATCTATATAATGTAGTAAAGTGCTAATATTCGATGTTTCTACCTAATCTGTATGGAAAATTTAACGTTTTTAGTGTCCGTAATATCGACTGTAACCGTGTTAATATTGACAAGTTTTATATCATTTTTTAGTAAATGACGTCTAGAGATTGACCTCGCCAAAATTATTATCGATTGTCATTCCCCAGCCATCTTTAACGCGGTTTTTTTTTCGATCATACATTATTCTGCTGTATTCTGTGATATTTGTTTTATTGTATTATTTACTTATCTACGAGATATTTATATTACGAGATATTGTATTATTTTACTTATCTACGAGATTTTTTAAAGATTTTATTACGGTTTCCGGGGTACTTTTTGTAAGTTTTCATAGAGAATATAATTTAGGATATTTTTGACAGATTTGTAGAAGAAAATCATAATAGATTTGTCATATTGTGACATAATTTATGATTGTTATGTTTGTTTCACCGGGACTGGATCATTTTAAGATTAAGAAGAATATTAAAACTATTCAAAATGGACATTTTGCCTAATTTTTTTTTTATAAAATTTTACCAACCTGTATCTCAAAAGTTAAGATGTTAGGACATACATAAGCTTTTTCTTAGAATAGGGCCAAGAATCAGTCTCTTAAATATTCGCATGTCATTAAGGTACACCCTGTATATTGTAGACCGTGCATATTTCATATACCCCGTATCTACAGGGTGAGAACGTCTTGGACTTAAAACTGGACATGCCCTTGAGAACGACGCAGGACTACGTCCCTCCCGCCATCTGCCCTCAGATTAAAGCTCTAGTCAATGACGTCATAAAGAAAGAGATGGACAACTGCCACGTCACTATCAAGATGG